GTATAAACCAAATCAATCTAAACCTATTAAAACATATTCTATTCATACTATTCTATCATAAAAATGTTGTCGGCATTAAATAACCCAATCTAAAATAAAACCAAACCAATCTAAACTTATTAAAACATATTCTATTCATACGAATCTATTCTAAAAAATGTGGTCGGCATTAAATAACCCAGTTAAGTGTTGATATGCCCGTAAAACAAAATAAACCAAACCAATCTAAACCTATTATAAACATAGTCTATTCATACGAATCTATCCTAAAAAATGTGGTCGGCATTAAATAAATAATATGCCATAAAAAAATAAATTTAGGTGTTGATATCATAAAAATGTTGTCCATTAAATAAAACAAAATAAACCAAACCAATCTAAACCTATTATAAACATATTCTATTCATACGAATCTATCCTAAAAAATGTTGTCGGCATTAAATAACCCATTTGTCGTTGATATGCCGTAAAACAAAATAAACCAAACCAATCTAAACTTATTATAAACATATTCTATTCATACGAATCTATTCTAAAAATGTGGTCGGCATTAAATAACCCATTTAGGTGTTGATATGCCGTAAAACAAAATAAACCAAACCAATCTAAACCTATTATAAACATATTCTATTCATACGAATCTATCCTAAAAATGTTGTCGGCATTAAATAACCCATTGAGGTGTTGATATGCCATAAAACAAAATAAACCAAACCAATCTAAAATAAACATATTCTAAACCAAAATCTTAAACCCATTTATTATAAAAAACAAAATAAAACAAACCAATCTAAACCTATTAAACATATTCTATTCATACGAATCTATACTAAAATGTTGTCGGCATTAAAAACCCATTTAGGTGTTGGTATGCCATTAAATAGCCTATTTAAACATATTCTATTCATAGGAATCTATCATAAAAATGTTGTCGGCATTAAATAACCCATTGAGGTATTGATATGACGTAAAACAAAATAAACCAAACCAATCTAAACTTATTATAAACATATTCTATTCATATGAATCTATCCTAAAAATGTTGTCGGCATTAAATAACCCATTTAGGTGTTGATATGCCGTAAAAAAAAAATAAACCAAACCAATCTAAACCTAAAAACATAGTCTATTCATACGAATCTATCCTAAAATGTTGTCGGCATTAAATAGCCCATTGAGGTGTTGATATGCATAAAACAAAATAAACCAAACCAATCTAAACCTATTATAAACATATTCTATTCATACGAATCTATCCTAAAAATGTTGTCGGCATTAAATAGCCCATTGAGGTGTTGAAATGCCATTAAACCTATTATAAACATATTCTATTCATACGAATCTATCCTAAAATGTTGTTTAAATAACCCATTGATATGCCATAAAACAAAATAAACCAAACCAATCTAAACCTATTATAAACATAGTCTATTCATACGAATCTATCCTAAAAATGTTGTCGGCATTAAATAACCCATTGATGTGTTGATATGCCTTAAAACAAAATAAACCAAATAAACCAAATTCATAGGCAATATTTCCTAAGATGTTATTTTCCACACATGAAACAAGGTTTGAAATTCATTTATGCCCACTTTCCCTTAACCTTTACCAATGCACATTCTTTATTTTTGAGTTTTTCAGAATAACGTTTCAAACCTTAACACTTTTTGGTAATCATCTAATATTTCCTGTGGAGATACGTTATTATTATGTTCAATCTTTGCTAAAATTTTCGTTCGTACTTCAGCATTTTTTCCGCTGTTAAACCTTGCGCGAAAATTAATCCCTTGAACATATCTGGAGTCACTTCCTTTAGTTTAAATTATTCACATTCTCTGTGGATGGTACCCGCATATGTGACAAAATATTCATCCTCTTTTCTTTTTGGTTAAATTCAAGCAACTTTATCGAGCATGGAACAAACCCTATTTCACATGGTTTTCTCGGTTACACATAATTACAGTACTTTTCGTAATCTATTGGAGCTATTTTTCTTAACAACAACCTGTTTTTTTAATCTTCTTCCCAACCACTGCATTCCTGACTAAATATTTCTTCATGTCTGCGAAAATACGCAGCAAAAGTCAGTACGTCATCAGAATTGTATACGAATTCTGATATGTTGTTTTTCACCGCGTCTGGTTTAAGAGTCGTCGAAGAGATTTTCTTCAAATCCACTTCCAACAACTCTTGTTGTTTTTGCAATTGTAGCAACTGTTGTTGTTGCTTCTATTGTTGTTGTTGAATTTCAACAACTGGAGCCAAATTTTTCTCCATATCTGTCGCCAGCTATTATAACTTTCAATTCTAAGGTTATAACACACACTCGTACTTGGCATAACGTAATTCTTTAAAGTATTCTCTATATGTAATGCTTAGGATATTGTCGTACGTCTGTTTAGCTGGTATGAAGACTGACCCAAAAATGAATGGTATTTAACCCATTCTCCTCACAAGGAAGTATGTAGCACAAGGCCGTTTTTTTATGTGTGGCGATATCGAGCGCGTAGGTTCGGGCAAAAAACTCCCTTAGACCCCGCATACACGAAGTCGGGTATGTCTACCTCCCAGATAAGACCCTGACCGTAGGCATAGCCTTGTCTGTGTTTCTCTTTCCCTGAAGGCATAGAGTTCGACAAGTCTGTCGCGAGCCTGGAAGCGAACCTGTCTGATTCAGAAGTGACTGGTATTTACCCAATTCTCCACACAAGGAAGTATATGACCCATGGCCGGGTTTTATGTTGGGCAATTCCGCGCCCGTAGGCTCAGGCAAAAAATTCCCCGTCGACCCTACATACACGGGGTCAGGTTTGTCTACCTTCCCAGACGAGACTCTGCCCTTCGGCAAAGCCTCATCTGGGTTCCTCTCTGCCCGAAGGCAGAGTGTTCGACAAGTTTGACGCAAACCTTGCAGAGAACCTGCCTGACGTAAATGCGACTGGTATTTACCAACCTCCCCATAGGATGTGGCACAAGCCCGATTTTTGTGTGAGATGAACTCGGGCCCGTAGAGTCGGGCCCAAATTCCCCGTAGACTCCGCATACACAAGGTCGAGTTTGTCTACCTCCCCAGAGGAGACCTTCAGTCTCAAACCTAGCAAACCATTTATTCAATCTCTCTTGGTAGGTTACGCCCTGTTTTTCTCTGTCCCCCTTACCTTAAATCTGTCCTGTGACTATCACGTTTTTCATTACTATTCCCAAAATTTCTTACAATCTAAAAATATTTTCTGCCTTAAAATAACATTCAACATGCGTAAAAACAATCAATCAATCATTTATCTGTGCAATACCGGATATATATGAGGTCACATATTTCTGTATTCGGCGGTCGGGATTAACTCTAGATCAACCGTACACCTGAGATCCTTTAACGGTGTGGTTTGAAATATTATTTCTATAATACTACAGAACATTGTCTGAACAGCGCAGAAATGCGATGGTTGGTTTTTACCTCGTACACAACGGCTTGGCGAACGATTTGGCTACAGAAGAAACACGACCCTAGTTTACATTATTTACATTATTCGGACTATTGTCCTCATCTTTGTCACCATATTTATTACAACGTTCCAGCCTTCTTCAGGTAGTTGGAATGTCGAACTGAACGCTCACTGGGGTAGACTGTTCACGTTCCACGTGCCATGTTTAATGGATGTTAGTTATCTCCTGTTAATTTCCATATTATCTTTATAATACTACAGAACATTGCCTTAACCGGGTATTGAACTCACACTCTTTGGGTCCTGTCATATGCGAACCAGTAATAAGGAGTGCCAGAGAAAAGCAATGATAACAACAAAGTTGCAATATGAGCTCTGGTAAAAACATGCAATGATAACAGCAAAATTGCAATATGAGCACTAGTAAAAATGGTTGCTGAAGACATTAAGTTTATAATACCCAGAAATTCATACTCAGATGTCCTCAAGGACACATGGCACAGTGGATAAAGGTGTTGGTTAGATCCAGTAACTGATAACTGACTTCCATTAAACATGGCACATGGAACTAGAACAGTCTAACCCAGTGAGCGAAATAAAGGGTTCAGTTCGACATTCCAACCACCTGAAGAAGGCCGGAACGTTGTAATAAATATGGCGACAAAGATGAGGAGAATAGTCCGGATAATGTAAATAATGTACATAATACCTCATCTCAGAAATATAGACATACCCTAGTTTGATTAAAAACAATCAAACAATTTAACTCTCCAGCAAATATTTCAAATGAAACGAGATCTCTATAGAGACTGTCCTACCACTAAGATTACGAGCACCGAAGAATGAAGAAAATTAATTCATTGACGTTTTGTCGTTATTATTTTATTTATTTTGCAAATAAGCTTCATGAGCAGTAAATATCAACTGTGAGTGTCACAGGCAATGGTAAGGGGAAGGAGACACAGGAAAATTGACATTGACGTGTTTATCTGGACTAGCATGCAGGAAAAAGTGGGAAAAAATGATCGCTTATGAATAAAAGATGTCGGAAAATATTCTCTCATCGTTAAAAAAAGAAACCGATATGAAAGGACTGAAATACATTAGTTTGCATACAAATAACTAAAGTCGCACACACACACACACACACAGAGAAAGACGCATTCACCTATGAGGAGAGGACCCTTTATACCCCTGGGTCCCTGACAGGTAGATTTCAGCGGAAGATAGACAGGCGTATCTTCAAGCTAATCTTCGCGAAATGATGTGGGTTTTTTGCTGCCTCAGTTTTCCAGATTATGAAGGTTTGATTTGAAAAACAGCCTTCAATTTATAGCTTTTAACTGAGATCGATTAACGTTGATTGCTTTGTCTGTTTAACGCCATATCAACACCTCATGGGTCATTTAATGCCGAAAATTTAATTTTCTTGAGAGCTTGGAAGTAATAAAAATATGTTCTTCTGCTTTCACAATTGAATACATGGTAGATAATACTCAGCTTTTGTGCATATATAATGTTTCCGTGGGCATAGTCACTAGAGGCTTACAGCTACAGTACGTTGAAACACCGGTTACCGCGCGATCACCGAAGTTAAGCAGCGTTTGGTCTGATCGGTACCTAGATGGGTGACCGCTTAGGAATACCAGCTAAAATGTGGATGCAGGTGCGTGTGGTGTAATGTCTAATGGCTCGGAATTTTTAATCAGAGAGCCGAGTTCCAAGACCAGTTGGGTTCGTTATATTCACTTACGCGCAAAGCTATGAGTCCACCTCTTCTCCCCAACTATGGGTTAATTAGTAAAACTTGTGTCACCAAGCCATTATTATCTTCAAAAATAAAATAAAATTGTATAGAAAATATAAAATAACCTGAAAATCGTTGAAATGGCGCTAAACAAAACCAACCAACCATCAGAATTACTTGAGGCGGTGATAAGGTTTCGTTTTGTTGAATAAAAATGTGATAGATGTTATTCTGCTTTCACAATTGAATACATGGTAGATAAAACTCAGCTTTTGTGCATAGACATGTTTGTGCGGACACGATTACACGAGCCGGAGATATATCTGTTTTATGACATAGTTTTCTTGAACTAAGCTACTCTTGTAAAATCCCGGTGTGGCACCACGACGTAAGGTAATGGTTAGCAAGCGTGTCTTGCTATAGCAATTACAACTGAGTAGTGAGTTCGATCCTCACTGGGTGCCCCATACACTTTCAACCTTGTGCCACATCTAAGCTACGCTTAGAAAATAACCATATTGGGGTGCCCGGAGGCACTTCGATGTGGTGTAATGGTTAACAAGCTTGTCTCGCTAAATCAGTTACGACTGAATAGTGAGTTCGATTCTCACTGAGTTCTTCAAACTTTCGACCTTGTGCCACATTAAATCTATGTTTAAAAAACCATTAACGGAACTGCGAATTGGGGTAATGGTTAACAAGCTTGTCTCCCTAAATCAAGTAGGGAGTAGTGAATTCTATTCTCACTGTGTGCCCCAGTTTTTCGGCCTTGTACCACATCTAAGCTGTGCTTAGAAAATCGCCATATTGTGGCGCCTAGTTTCTTTGTCTTGGGTAAACCGTAAAGTCTGGGTATATTTGGGTGGTATTCTTTCAGTCCCTCCCAATATTTCTCCTCGTTGGTAACTAATTTTCTAATGGATTTATTGAATTTCTGTGTCTCAGTGGCAATAATATGTTCTTGAATTTTCTCATGAGGGAATAATTACCGCGACAATTAATATAAAGACCGAAATTTATCCTATCACAGAGATAGGTTCTTTTCGGCAATATTTGACTTTATTATAACATACAGGCTGTCCATAAAGTTCGTGTGCACTTTAAACAATTTATAACTTTATTTGTATTTGCGATAGAAATAATCTGTAAAAAATGTTATAAAGTTTAATGTACCGAGTTTTAAGTATAGCTAAAATAACTAAAGTCATTTCAGGTATTACTGTAAATCAGTTGGCAAATGTTTTCCGTGAACTGCAAAATCGTATTACCCTTTGTATTGCTAATGATGGAGGACATGTGGAAACTTAAATAAAATTTCAATAAAACTTTAAAAAGTATAGATTGACTTCTTTCTAATCCTTTTTCACAAATTATTTCTATCGCAAATACAAATAAAGTTATAATATTTTTTAAAGTGCACACGAACTTTGTGGACACACTATATTTTTCCGAAATTTGTATATAGGGCGCCTACAATTATTGGGAGGATTTCAAGTAAGCTCCGACTTCAAAATGTTTGAGAACGACTGTGTTAGACACTCATACGTTGAAAACCAATGGATAATCATCATCTCTCTTTTATATATATATATATATATATATATATATATATATATATATATATATATATATATATATATATATATACAGTAGCGTCCAAAACTAAGGGACAAAATTTTAAAACCTAATATTTGTTAGAAATAATAACTGTGAAAAGCTGAAATTTTGACAACTGGTAGTCGTTATCATCCATAATAACATACTAAAATTTGAATCATTTGCAAAGGATAGAAAAAGAATTATAACAATTATTTATTTATTTTCAAAATAGAATCGTCCAAAAGTAAGGGACAAAATTGAGAAAAACAATGTAAACAGTATGCTATATTCAAATTTTTGATTTCCTCTAAAGAATAAGTCTTACGTTTTTATAAACGTTGCATTAGCCGGCACCATGGCGAAACGCCAAAAACTTGATTACTCTGTGAGACAAGCTATTGTGAAGCTACACAAGGAAAAGCACACCATTAGAGAGATTTCAGAGAAAGTGAAACGTTCCAAGAGTGTTGTAGACAGGGTTGTTAAATCCTACAATGATACTGGCAAAATAGTTAGTGCTTTTAAAACCGGCAGACCCCGCAAAACTTCGGCAAGAGAAGATCGAATAATGCAGCGTATGTCATTAAAGGACTGTTTTAAGTCTTGCACAGAAATTAAAAGGGTTATGAATAGTACCCCATGTGTTAATGTGTCAAGACAGACTGTTTGTAGACGACTGCAAGAAATAGGGCTGTTTAATCGAACCCCAGGGAAGAAACCACTTGTTAGTTCGAAGAATAAGAAGAAGAGATTAGAGTTTGCAAACAGGTATGTAATTTGGACATATGAAAATTGGGCAAAAGTATTTTTCAGTGATGAAAGCAAGTTTAATTTATTTGGAAATGATGGAAAAAACAATGTAAAGAGACGTATTGGTGAAAGATTAAGTGCAAAGTGTACTAAGAAAACTGTCAAGTTTGGGGGCGGAAGCGTCATGGTATTTGGAATGTTTTCTAGCCAAGGTACAACGCCTGTTGTCCGGTTACAAACTCGTGTAAACCCGCAGATCTATAAAAACATTGTTCAAGATCATGTTGTGCCAATCATACAGAATTCAGGTTTCGATAGGGCTACCTTTATGCAAGATAATGCCCCATGTCACAAGGCAAAGGTGGTAATGAGTTACCTTAGCGAGCAAGATTTGGAAATTATGGATTGGTCACCGCAAAGTCCTGACTTAAATTCAATAGAAAATCTTTGGAAGACCTTAGGAGTGAAAGTTATGGAAAGAAATCCCACTAACACGGAGGATTTGTGGGTGAAGCTTCAAGAAGAATGGTCTAAAATTAGTATCCATGATTGTCAAGAACTCGAAGATGTGCAGCTGTCATTGAGAGCAAGGGCTCATTTACTAAATATTGATTGTACATGTATTTTATTGTTTTTTTACCGGTTACATTGTTTTTCTCAATTTTCTCCCTTACTTTTGGACGTTCCAAATTTGAAAATAAATAAATAATTGTTATAATTCTTTTTCTATCCTTTGCAAATGATTCAAATTTTAGTATGTTATTATGGATGATAACGACTACCAGTTGTCAAAATTTCAGCTTTTCACAGTTATTATTTCTAACAAATATTAGGTTTTAAAATTTTGTCCCTTAGTTTTGGACGCCACTATATATATATATATATATATATATATATATATATATATATATATATATGTATGCATATATATATATATATATATATATATATATATATATATATATCTTTTCCATCCTTAACGCAGAACAATACGATTGGATTAGAAATCCATTCATGGAAACTTCATATGATTTTGGTTTAACATTAACTGAAGATGAAGAACTGGCAACTATATCCATTGATCCAGTGATTAAACATAATGAATTGTCTCTTGAAGCTTTTTGGGTTTCTATAAAAGAAAAATATGTGTCAATATCTAAAAAACACTCTGGCCATTTTACTAAAGTTTGCAACATCATATTTATGTGAATTATGCTTTTCTGTTCTCACCAAAATTAAGTGCCAAAAGAGAGCAACTCTTCAATGTATTGACTTGGAAATAAGAGGTTGTCTATCAAATATACACCTAAAAATTGGAGAAATCCAGACTCATCAGGCACATGTTTCTCATAAACACAAGAACGAATAAAATTATCTTTCATTATATATATATTTATTTATTTCATTATTTCTTTTCTGCAATATTTGACTTCATTATAAAATATTTTCCCGAAATTTGTATACAGTACGCCTACAATTATTGGTAGGATTTTAAAAAAAAAGGCGTTAAAAAAGCGAAGTTCTTAGGGTTTAACGATAACAAGAAACCATGCATAATAAGAAGAAAGAAAGAAGGAAAGTAATGATAAAAAGGAAGATAAAAGAGACAATAAAGTCTTCGTGCGTTTAACGTCTGCTGCAGTGAAATAGAAAATGCCGATTTTGAATCATTTCATTTGCAGAAATTTACTTTAAATCGTGACCTGCATTCATATTGATGATCTTTATTGCAATATTTTGTCAAGCTCAAGTATTTCATGATCCTTTACCATCACTGACTGTTAAGACAATATCCTGCAAAAATGTAGACCGATATTAAATATGCAGATAACCTAACTCTCACTGTAGACGCCATTACGAATTCCACAGTTCTCCTACATCATCTTAAACATGCTGCCAACGATGTTGAATTCTATATCAATGACAGAATTCATTGGCTTCAACAAGCAATGTTCAATACAATCTGTTTCAGGTGAATCAAAAAAAATCTGTCGAATCTTTTACATACCTGGGAGCCTAAATAGATTCTACTGAATTCGCATAGTTAAAGCCTGGGCCGCTTTGAATAGAATGAATGTAGTTCTGAAATCAGATCAACCAGACAACCTCAAACGGAGATTCTTTCGAGCCACTGTAGAGGCGGTGTTAATTGTTGGTACCATTGATTGGACATTAAATTACACCCTAAGCTTGATGGAACCTACATAGATATAATAAGAGCTATACTTGATATCTCTATGCACCAGGCGCTAAGGTTCCATGTATGCAACGCATTGCATGCCTTACATTTTTTCAAAGATAAATCATTTTGTGTAATATAAAATTAATTATTGATAATTTTCACTATCCTCTTTGACTTGTATTTTTTTTTGTATTTCTCCATTTCTTCATTTCTTAGGATCATTGTTACAAGCGATATTATTTAGGAAGCGTGAGCATAGAAACTGACTGTTGCTTAGCGAGAAAAGACGTAAATAAAAGCAACGAGTTTACCAGCTTTTTTTTAGTAGGGCGCATGAGAGACAGAACATAATAGTGAGTGGTTGAAAGAGATACAGTCACCAAAAAGCAGAAATTCTTTTGTTTGCGTGAAAAAAAGTCTTTAGCCTTCTCTGTTTTATTATTCCTTTCGAGCTGGATGCATGAAAAAAGAGAGACAGAATTAGGAGGCGGGGTCACAGAGAGAAAGCCTCCGAAAAGCAGAAATTCTTTTGCTTGCGTTCCAGCCACATTAAGACAGCAGACACTACTGAAACTTCCTACTGAAGTGATGGTGTTTTTATTGCGTGCGTCTGAAATCACAGACTCACCTATTCAAAGAATTATAGTTGGACAGATTTAAACGAAAAAAATTGTATTATTCGGTTCTGAAGAGTATATAGTCTCACATGAAAAGTTCTTTTCCTTACTGGCTTGTAAAAAGTGTTAACCCATGGAGAGTATTCTTGAACCCTTCTTAAGACCAGGATTCAATCATTTGACCATTACCCAGAAAGGTTTTGACCAATTTATACGTGAAGCGAAAAGGATCAACCGGCATTGTCTATTTTGCGTGATTAAAAATTTTCATCCGTTTCAATGGTATAAGATTTAATTTTAAACGTTCAGAATTATTTTTTAAAGTTATGTAAAAAAAATTCTTGATAATATTGTATATTATTTCATTAAACATGTTAAATTTTGTTAAAGGACATTTTTTTAAAAAAATCACTGAAATACCTAATTTTAAAATTAAACTGAAATTATTTAAATTCAAATTTCATGTATTAATATTGGTGTTATTTTAAAGAAAAAAGATTGGATTTTATGTTAAAAGAACATTTTGGTAATTAAAACAATTTAAATTAAAACAACATGCATTTAGTTTACATCAAAAAGGGTATCAAGTCTGAAGAGGACCCTGTTGGTAGAAGCGTCTTTTCTCATATTAAAATTAGTTCACATCACATTCGCAGATGGTTGTGGTGGGGAGGCCATTAATGTTCCTGCGCGCAAAGTGAGGTTCTCCTTTTCCCTCTCCACTTTGGAGATTAGCCTGAACAATGGACTGCATGCCCTGGCACCTAAGTCACACCTTCGCCACTGCCATGCAGCCATCCCTGATATTTATACAATCTTACGACTGAATGCTCTTTGCAGGACACTGTTGTGAGCAAAACAAGAACTCACAAGTGATCTACTGCTCTGGAAACCTAGCAATGGAGCAAGACGGGTTGGTCACCCAGCAATCACCTACATTGACTTGCTATGTTATGACACAGAATACCGCCATAATGACCTTTCGACCTTGATGCAGGACCGTGATAGTTAGCGTGATGGACTCGGGAATGTCCGAGATAGCTCGACCGAATAAAATAATAAAATGAAGTAATTTAACGATGCAACAGGAAAGTTTTCGCGGGCATTTTATAGCCGTGAAACTCGGAAAGAGCTTATTGAATACATTATATTAAGAATTATGATTGATCGTAAAAATCAAATAGGAAATATGTGATATCTTCGTGGGTACAGCTTGTGCATAAAATGATTTTATGCAAACTAGATTTTGTCATACAACAACGTCTTAAAAAAAAAAAAGAACAAATTTAAGATCAGTTAGAAAAATAGAAAAATAATAAAAAAATGACGTCAAAAATTAACCTCTTTTTAGATATCCCGGGTGTAACAGCAAAATTGTCTAAATCGTGGGATAAATTGTCATTCCTCAAAATTTTTAATATGTAAAAAACCCCACTAAACTGGGTTTCTTTTTCAGATAAGACGTATAGCCATCTTGGTACTATTTGTCGTAAGAATCACTGAAAAAAAATCACTTTATTATTCAGCTAAAAAGTGAACAGGTTAAAATCGTTTTGTGCCAGACCCACTATGTGTTGCCAACTGAACAATGGTAAGACGAAAAAGATCACCCAGGCCTTCAGTAATGGTACCAACATTCATACTCTGGCTTCCATCTTCAATGTCCATTCAAGAACCATCAAGAGAACGGTGAATAAGTTTAAAAAAGAGGGAACAATATGGAGGAAAACTGGATCAGGAAGACACAACACAAGATACCTCCCACATATAAAACTGACATGAAGTGGAACGATTATATTGAATCAATTGCTAGGTCTGCAGCTGAAAAGGTTGGTTCACGGCGCCGTGCTAGACAATTTTTTCCCGCCAGAATCTACCTTACCTATTTATAAGACTACCATTCGTCCATGATTTAAATATTACTTCCACATATGGTCGACTCTGTTATAGATAGGATGTAACAGAAAAATTGTCCAAATCGTGTAACAGAATGGGATAATTGTCCATCTTACAAAATGTTTAATATCTAAAAAATCACTAAACTAATTGAGTTTCTTTTTTCCAGGTGTTCAGATAAGACGTTTAGACATCTTGACACCATTTGTCGTAAGAATCACAGAACAAACTCTTTGAGTTATTATATTCCGTGCTAAAGGAATAAATACTTAATACCAAGTGGATAATAGAAGAAAGGTTTATTGTACACAACCAGTACAATATGAAATACGGCACAGTTATACACATAAGTCAATCTAGTAGCGAGTGCTACTAATTGGAAGGTCGAACCTGCTTGCATCGTCTCTCTCTCTCATTCTTCTCTCTCCCCTCTCTCGTAGACAGTAGACTTTATAGGTACTTACTACCTATAGTGTAATCATTCATAAGGGTAACTGGTTATTCCATCACATCAGTTATTCAGCTAGAAAGAGAAGAGTTTAAAATCGTTTTGTGTCTGACCCACTATGTCTACCCAACTGAGCAATGGTAAGACAAAAAAAAAATCATCCAGGTCTTCAGTAATGGTAGCAAAATTCATACTCTTCAATAATGGTACCAACATTCATACTCTTCAAATTCCATTCAAGAGCCATCAAGAGAACGGTGAATACGTTTAAAAAAAGAGGGAACAGTAGAGAGGAAAACTGGATCAGGAGGTCACAACAGGAAGAGTTTAATAGTTTTTATAAAAACCTCGGAGAATTCCAATAAGGTATCTTTAAACAGTTCTAAGATACGACGGTGCAAAGCTTCATCTAACAATTGAACAATTTTGTTGATGCACGTTGGACAATTTTGCTGTTACACCAGGTATGTGATTTCTGTAAAGAAATTCAAATTAACTATCAAACGTGTGGATACCACAACAGCGAAACTCCGTGTCAGGAAAGCTAAGGTAAACATAATTCTATTGGTTGTTATTAATCCTCTCTGTTAATATTGTGCATTTTAATTATAAATACTATTTGTATGAAAGCGTTATTCTCTAGAAACAATATGGCGGACTGTTTTTTTCATTTTTTTATTTTCTTTTCCTGTTTTGTATTTATCGAAACAAAGTCTTTTTCTAATACCCAATTATTCTTTGATTAATGCCCGAAATTGTTTCAAACGAGTAAATCACGTCGTCACAGTACGTTTCAATAAAGTTGGTTATTATCAATACTCTAGTAATAATGTGTATGTTCATGGAGTACGTAATACACTGTGAGTTTAGATAAGGCAACAATTCTGTACAAGCAACCTTAAAAATCAGTGTTATTTATGGGATGGATTGTTTAAACGACAAAAATTGATGAAGATGGCCGGAAAGTTTTTGAAAAGGGGATCTCAGCCAAAATGAGAAAATGAAATAAAGGAAATGAAAGAAAGAGGACATGAAGAAAAGAAAAAAGAAAAAAAAATGAAATAAAGTAGAAAGAAAGGAAGAAAGCAATGAGAAAATACAGAATGGAAAGAGAATAAAGAAAGAACGAGAGAAGGAAAGAAAGAGCATAAGAAAAAAGAAAGAGGGGAAAGCAGAATGTAAAAGACAGAAAGAAAGAAAGAAAGAAAGAAAGAAAGAAAGAAAGAAAAGAAAAGAAAAGAAAAGAAAAAAGAAGGAAAAGCCGAACGAAAGAAAGGAAGATAGAGGGGAAATAGACAAACAGAAAGAAAGACAGAAGGATAGATAGAAATAAAGAAAAACAAAACCGAAAGAAAGGCGGGCAGGCAGGCAGAAAGAAAGAAAAGAAAGAAAGAAAAGAAAGAAAGAAAGGCCACGGCAGGCAGGCAGAAAGAAAGAAAGAAAGAAAAGAAAGAAAGAAAGAAAGAAAGAAAGAAAGACAGGCGGGCAGATAGATAGAAAGAAAGAAAGAAAGAAAGAAAGAAAGAAAGAAAGAAAGAAAGAAAGAAAGAAAGACAGGCGGTCGGGCAGGCAGGCAGAATGAAAGAAAGAAAGAGAGGCAGGCAGGCAGGCAGGCAGAAAAAGAAAGAAAGAAAGAAAGAAAGAAAGAAAGAAAGAAAGAAAGACAGGCGGGCAGGCAGAAAGAAAGAAAAAAGACAGGCAGGCAGGCAGGCAGGCAGAAAGAAAGAAAGAAAGAAAGAAAGAAAGAAAGAAAGAAAGAAAGACAGGCGGGCAGATAGAAAGAAAGAAAGAAAGAAAGAAAGAAAGAAAGAAAGAAAGAAAGAAAGAAAGAAAGAAAGACAGGCGGTCGGGCAGGCAGGCAGAATGAAAGAAAGAAAGACAGGCAGGCAGGCAGAAAGAAAGAAAGAAAGAAAGAAAGAAAGAAAGAAAAAAGAAAGAAAGAAAGAAGGCAGACAGGAATAAATAAATAAAAGCAGAGCAGATGGGGGGAAAAATAGACAGCCAGAAAGAAAGATAGAAATAAAAAAAAGAAAGAAAGATATAATGAAAGAAAGAAAAACTAAGAAAAATAGAAAGAAAAAATAGAAATAAAGAAAGAAAGAGAGAAAGAAGGGCCGAAAGAAATGCAGAGAGCAAGAGAAACCCCGAAAGAAAAGCAAAAGAAAAAGAAAGATGAAAGAAAGAAAATTGCACAGAAATAAAGAAAAGCAGAAACAAAAAAGATAGAGACAGACTGAAAGCAAGAAAGAAAGGGAGAAAGAAAGAAAGACAGAAAAGAAAGAAAGAAAGAAAGAAAGAACGGAAGAATGAAAATAGAAAAACAGAAAAAAAAAACGACAGAACGATAGATAAAAAACTGAACTGAAAGAAAAAGAAAGAAAGAAAGAAAAAAAGAAAAGAAAGTAATCAATGTTTTGTCCAACAAAAATTAGCTACTCGACCTCCACCCACAAAAAAAAAAAGAAAGGCGGTGAGTAATCAT